TTTTATACCCAACTCTTATATTATTGTATCGATTTTATTTTATCACGAATAAACGTCATTATCATTATCATTATCATACAAACATCTGAAAAACCAACAAACATTTCAAATAGGTTACAAATAAAATGAATAAACACAACTATCACCAGTGGTGACGCAAATGTTTATGAGAGATACAAACATTATGTAAATAATATGCTAATGAAAATTGAAGAAAATATATGGTGATTAAAGGCCACAATTTAAATGATTCAGATTGAAACATGTGAGTTGCTGTGGCCAGGTAGTCGTTGACACTATAAAAACAATGTGTTGTCAGAAAATTTCTGGTAAACCTTTTGAAACTAAATATAGGTAGATCTTCAACAGTGGGTAGCAATATATTATGAAGATTAACACTGAGTTTATTGATCAAGGATTTGTGTAGTTTCAGCCAGCGTGGACTTGAGAGATTGGCACCTCTAGTGTTATGTTCATGAACCTATGAATTGGTCAGATGTTCGTTTTTGTGGTTATGAATTTCCAATAGTGATTGATAGATAAAGAAACAGAGTACCATTATTATGTTTAGATTTTTGAAAATAAGGCGGTAGGTATCTCTGAAACCAGCATTTGAAATTATTTCAATAGCTCGCTTTTGTAGTAGAAATATTTTCTCAGCATTGAGGCAATTTCCCCAAAGTAAAGTTCCGTAGCTAACATGGAAATGAGAAAAGGCATATTATGCTGATAGAAGAGTGTGCAAGTTGACGAAATTCTTCAATTGCCTGACTAGAAGTAGATATTTGAAGAGTTTTGAGCCTAATTCAAAAGGTTAGCATTGCACCATTTCTCAGCCTGATTTACCACAGTTTTTATTGTGGCGAGCAAGTTCTCACGGTTTTGGTTGTAGCATCGGTATACATTACGCATTTATATGGTAAGAAGTGGAAGAAGTCATTTATATAAATGATGAACAGCAAAGGTCCCAAAACGGAGCCTTGTGGTACTCCTGATTTCCAGATTGGAAAAAGATCCAAAGTTCAATTTTCACCACGATCTACGCATTGTTTACAATTGTTCAAGTAAGAACTGAAGAGGGAAAGTGCAGCTCCCATGATTCCGTATTCGTTCAGTTTCATGAGTAGATTGTGGTCAGAAACACAGTCAAACGCCTTGCTCAAATCGCACAATGTAGCCGAGCTATGCTGTTTTTGTTCAAACCCATCATCATTGCTGTAGAGGCAAAAGAGAGCACACATTTACGGTCGAGTATGCTCTGAAGGATAAAAATTTTCTTGAAATTGGATATTTCCAATCTTAGAGTAAATATCATTTACAATAGTCACTGTGAAGTCACTGTAAAATTGTTATTTATATACTATAGTTTCTATTTAGTGAATGGATATGAACTTCAATGAACGAGTTTAAATCTTTAGAATTACTGAAATTGATTTTTTTTTCATTTCTGAGTTGGTGGTAAGAATATTGTTTGCTAATTAGCATTCGGAAATTGGTACAGTTTGCAATTAGTATCGTTACTGTTTCTCATTATAAAGTCCAATCATATGATTCGATCAAATGAACTACTCGTTCAGTAGTATCATTTACGACGCGCATTTTTTTTTGAATTGTTAAAGAGGTTTTTGATGAAATGAATAAAAACACTTATGTCTAATTACCACTAGTTAATTTTATTAATACGAAAGGTTTCGGGTTTAACCCCATTATCAAATATTATCATACGAAAATAACTACGATAAACGATGCATAATTAATATTCTGTGCTTATAATAATAATAATCCTAACAATATCCACAAGAAGTGGATTGTTTGGATGCGGAGGTTAATAGTGTTCTGGCAAATCAACATCGTCGTGTATAGCGTCGTCCAATCGCTTTCCGAATCAGAAGGACGGAATCCCGGCCTTGCGGTTCGGATGATTGAACGGCCAGTACACAAAATGGAGGCTGAGATCACGTCGGCTAGACAACACGCGTTTTCTATCAAATGTGTGATGGATTACAAGGCGACCAACATGCCTTTCATACCCGCAGTGCGGCGAATAGCCGCCAAACTACGACGTATCCATCACACTTTAAGTCAAGGCATGCTGCTGACCACCAAACAGCACTGCCTTGATAGGATACGAATGCTAGTGACTGCTAAGAAGTCACTAGTGAGGCGAGCGAGAAGTATCACGGTAAACCTTAGGTTCCGCTAGAAAACTTCTCGCTTATTCCAAGAGCCTCCACGTGTTCTAGATAATCCGCCGACCGCTGATCAGGTGGAATCTTTCTGGAAGGATATCTATGAACACCCGCAGCCACTCAACTCAGACACTCCAGCCATAGCGCAGTTCGAAGCTTTCAACAGAAAACTTCGACAGCCTAAGCTCAATGAACTGCAATCCCGGATGACATTCGAAGAGCACTTGTGGGTTCCAAGAACTTTGCTGCTCCAGGCCCAGATGGGCTGAACACTTATTAGTGAAAAAATTAACAAGCACTCACCGCCATTTGGCGAGAGTTCTCAACTCATAACTGAACAGAGAGCAGCCGATTCCAGATTGGTTTGTCGAGAGGCGGACCGTTCTCATCCCCAAAAGCAGAGATTTGTCGATTCCTAAGAATTACAGACCGATAACATGCTTGAAATCGTGTTATAAGTTGTTTACAAGCATCTTATACACACGAATACTCACCGCAGTTGACCGAGTGTTCGAACGGATATATGAGCAGACAGGGTCGAAGGGAGGAGTCGCAGGATGTGAAGAGAACCTGCTTATCGATAGATGTGTAACGCAGGACTCGATACGATAAAAGCGTAACCTCTCTATGGCCTTTGATACAATATCGCATGAGCTCATCTTGCATTTGCTCAGATGCCTTGCGGTACCCGACAAAATAGTGAGATGCATTGAACAACTGATACCACTTTGGCGAATTCGCTTCACCATAACATCTGGTCAAGCAAGAGTCCAAACAGGGTGGGTCTCTTTCAGAAGGGGTGTATTTCAGGGTGATTCCCTCAGTCCCCTCCTCTTCTGCATCTCACTACTGCCATTATCCGTGACCCTCGAAAATACTCGAGGGTATAACTGTAGCACTCCCGGAATCCGGAGGCACAAGGTCACCCATTTATTTTATATGGATGATCTTAAACTTGCCTCTGGAGAGAAAGATGTCCTTGAGGGTGGTGGAAGAGTACACGCATGCTATCGCTATGAAATTTGGTATAGACAAATGTACAATGGTCCATCTCAAAAGAGGACGATGCGATGACTACGGAGAGGTATACAGCTCGTAGATGGAAGCATCCTACACAATTTGGATGCCGGAGAGACGTATACTCACCTCGGGGTCGATCAACGCCACTCACAAGAGTTACCAGCAGTGAAGAACTCTATCCGCGGCAAGTATCAGCACAGATCTGGTCATCAGATCTACCGGGAAAGAACAAAGTTGCTGCAACAAATATGCTTGCCGTTCCAATATTACTCTACTCGTTTGGAGTAGTGGAGGGGACTTGGAAGGAGCTGTATCAACTCGACGTAAAGACCCGAAAAATGATGCGTCTCTATTATAGGACCTAAGTCGTCCATTCCACGGTTGTACTTCCCGACAACAGGAAGGCCATGGACTTTTGAGTTTGGAGTTTCTAGAAGACAGAATGGTACTGGACATAGCCTGTAAATTCGTCAGGAGTTCGGATCCCCTTCTTCGCATGGTTCGTTACCATGAGAGAGCAGGAATTGAAGCATTTTTCTCTAGGGCAGCTGCCCGAGAAACTGATGAACTCGGTATTGTTTTCGACACTGAACAAGGTGACCACAACTCTGTCACCGAGTTGGAACCCATTCAACAAAAAGCTCATATAAAAGCCGCAGAGATCATCTCACTTCTGCGGAAACTCAAGGATGAACCAATGCATGGGGTCTTTTTCAATAACATTGGAGACCTTGGCTCATCAAAGCGCCTGACTTTCGCTTTCCCCACGTCGAGTGGGGTGAAGTCAGAAACTGAGGGGTTCATCATTGCTTGCCAGGATGATGTCCTCAACATCTTAATCTACCGCAGCCACGTGATTGGTATAGAGGTTACTGATACACGGTGTAGGACCTGCCGCGAGGCTTTCGAAACCCAAATGCACTTGCTATTAGCATATCCAGCATATGCGGTCTCGGCCTATATCCATCGACATGTCGCGGTCCTAAGAATGCTATATTACCATCTACGGCACTCTTACGGTATTGACAACGGTGTTGGCATACGCTCCAGGGGATATTGAATCCGTTATGGGGAACGAGAAGTGACGCATTTATTGGAACTATTCGTTTCCCACCCTCAGGCTCATACAACGTAATGAGCC